TTGTTCGAGGAGCATTTGTTGCAATGAAAGGTACTCGATAGGGAAATTTATATTTCCTAGACGGCTCTACAGTCACAGGGAGAGTGCTGTCTCCACTAGCTCAGAAGATGATGCATCAGACACTTCTAGACTTTGGCACATGCGCCTAGGGCATGTCGGAGAGAAGGCTTTACAAGGGTCGGTAAAGCAAGGCTTGTTGAAAGGCGCCAAAACTGGGAAGCTTGAGTTCTACGAGCATTGTGTACTGGGAAAGCAAACAAGAATCAAGTTTGGTACTGCTATTCATCGTACCAAAGGGATTCTAGACTACGTTCACACCGACGTATAGGGTCCTTCCAAGAGTGCTTCGTTGGGAGGTAAACACTACTTTGTGTCGTTCATTGATGATTTTTCAAGAAGAGTTTGGATTTACACAATGAAGCACAAAGATGAAGGCTTAGACATCTTTCTTATGTGGAAGAAGATGATTGAGACCTAGACAGGCAGAAAGATCAAGAGGCTCAGATCTGACAATGGTGGGAAATACACATCAGATCCCTTCTTTGAGGTTTGCCAGAATGCAGGGATAGTGAGACATTTCACAGTTCCTGGAACACCGCAGCAAAATGGAGTTGCAGAACGCATGAACTGCACTTTGGTGGAGAAAGTCCGGTGTATGCTGTCACATTCTAGATTGAGCAAGGCATTTTGGGGCGAGACATTGAACTATGCTCGTCATCTTGTCAACAGACTATTTACTGCAGCACTAGATGGCAAGACTCCCATGGAGGTATGGTTAGGAGTGCCAGCTACTGATTATAATCAGTTACGTATCTTCGGATGTCCAGCTTTTTTTCATGTTACAGAATCTAAGTTGGATCCAAGAGCCAAGAAAGCCATCTTCTTGGGCTTTAGTGACGGTGTCAAGGGATACAAACTCTGGTGCCCTGAATCAAAGAAAGTTGTCACCAGAAGAGACGTTACCTTTGATGAGTCTATAATGCTGACGCAGCTAAATCCTCAACAGAATGAAGCATTGAAGAAGTCAGTGCAAGTGGAGTTTGAGACTCCGACAAAGACTAGTTAGCCAATCAACCATCCTGAAGAAGTTTCAGTTGACAACTCTGAAGAAGACTCTGAAGAGAGTTTAGATGAAAATGAAGATCGAAAGGCCCTACAACAGTCAGAACCCATTGCAATCAGAAAAGGCAAAAGGGTTACTAAGCAACCTAGTTGGATGACCGATATGGTAGCCTATGCACTTCCAATCATTGAAGACAATGTTCCTTGCACTTTCAAAGAAGCCGTGAAGCATGCAGAAAGTGTTAATTGGAAGGAGGCTATGGATGAAGAGTTCGGGTCACTTCACAAGAACCAGACTTGGGAGTTGGTGCAACTTCCAAAAGGCAAGAAAGCAATTGGGTGTAAGTGGGTTTACACCGAGAAAGAAGGCATCTCAGGCAGAGGCAACATCAGATTCAAAGCTAGATTGGTAGCTAAAGGCTATTCTCACCTGTTGTGAAGTACACGTCTATTCGTATCTTGTTAGCTTTGGCTGCACAGTTTGATCTTGAGCTCGCCCAACTCGATGTCAAAACTGCCTTTTTACATGGAGATCTTGAAGAGGAGATATACATGTCCCAGCTAGATGGTTTCAAAGTTGCTGGAAAAGAGAATTGGGCCTGTAAGCTGAACAAATCATTGTACGGGTTGAAGCAATCCCCGAGATAGTGGTACAAAAGATTTGATCGGTTCATGATAGAAAAAGAATACACAAGAAGTCAATTTGATCATTGTGTATATTTCCGTAAGCTTCTCGACGGTTCCTTCATCTATTTGCTCTTATATGTAGATGATATGCTGATTGCATCTAAGAGCAAGGTGGAGATTGACAAACTCAAAGCACAGTTGGCAAGAGAGTTTGAAATGAAGGATTTGGGAGAAGCAAAGAAAATTCTTGGCATGGAGATCAAGAGAGACAGGAAGAAGGGCACGGTTTGTCTGACACAAACCCAGTATCTAAAAAAGGTGTTAGACAGATTTGGCATAAATGGGAAAACCAAAGCTGTGAGTACACCATTGGCCCCTCATTTCAAGCTCAGTGCTTCGATGTCTCCGCGCACAGAAGAAGAACGGAAGCATATGGCACAAGGTCCATATGCAAATGCAGTTGGTGCATTAATGTATGCTATGGTTTGTACAAGGCCTGACATCTCGCATGCTGTGAGTATGGTAAGCAGGTATATGCATGATCCAAGAAAACATCACTCGCAGGTAGTGAAATGGATCCTAAGGTACATACATGGCACGGTCAATCTAGGATTGAAGTTCGAAAGAGATAACCGACTCGGACAGAATCTGGTTGGATATGTGGACTCAGATTATGCTGGTGACTTGGACAAACGCCGATCAACAACAGGGTATGTATTACGCTTGCTAAAGGGTCGGTGAGTTGAAGGTCAACGCTTCAGTCAACAGTGGCTTTGTCTACTACAGAGGCAGAGTACATGGCAGTGACGGAAGCCTTTAAGGAAGCTATTTGGCTACATAGGTTAATTGAGGACTTGGGTATTGTTCAGAAGCACGTTGCTATTTGGTTACATGGGTTAATTGAGGACTTGGGTATTATTCAGAAGCACGTTGAGGTGTACTGCGATAGTCAGAGTGCCATTTGTTTGGCTACATGGTTAATTGATGTCCGTTTCCATTTCGTTCGAGAAATTGTGAATGAAGGGGATATTCTGCTTAAAAAGATTAGTAGTGTAGATAATCCGGCCAATATGCTCACAAAAGTGGTTTCTGGGATCAAGTTCCAACATTGTTTGGACTTGGTCAACATCTCTCGGAACTAAGCATCTTTGGGTGCAAGGCAGTGTTGATCGATCACTATGGACAGAGGGCAAAGGCATGACAGTCAAGGGCATCTCAGCAGGGGGTGTAGGACATCCAATCAGGAGGTGTCGGATATCTTAGTCGCATAAGTTCAAGCATAGCAGATGAAGACATCCGAGACAGGAAGCGTGAAAGAGATCTGTGGGAGATAGGAGTAGAGGCTCTCTCCAAATCAGAAAGTGGTGTGAGTTGAGTTGAGGATGTAGGATTTCCTCCTCCTCTTGTATCTCTGGTATATTATCTTTGGCTTCAGGGGATGCAGTGTCTCAGTGAAGAGATGCAGACTATGTTGAATTTGGGCATAACAAGATTAGCAGCAGTGTGTGCAATAGATCACCTCACAAGGGTTGAGGGGATGATTTGTTGATATCACCCCATGTGAAGGGGGTGATTTCCTTCCTGTGGGAACACACAAATTAGTTAGCTCTTCTTTGTCCTTCATTGCAGCTGCTAACCGACAAGCCGCCGAAGTTGTTGATCCACCATCTTTGAACAACAGCCAGCCATGTGCAAGGCCAGCCAGCTCCCTCCCTTTATGTGTATAAATAGAGGTAGAAAGAGCAGAGAGATTACAGTGTGTGGTGAGCTTAAGAGAGTTTACAGAGAGAGAGAATACTGAGTGTGTAATTCCATTTCTCAATATAGTGAATTCGCTGCCCGTAGACGTAGGCGACTTGCCGAACCACGTTAAATCTCGTGTTATTGCTTGTGTGTGTTTCTTGGTGTGTCCTTGATCCACAACACTTAGCCCATGTTAAATATAATGGTTTGTTGGTAGTGTATTCATTTTTTTTTTTTGGTCATTGTTTTTTGAAAAAACAATAAAATAATTAAATAATTTGAAATTTTGTTTCCAAAATTTTTATTTAGAAATGTTATTTTATTTTATTTTTTTGAAAACAACCCATTTTCCAAGAATGTTATTTTTGAATTTTTAAAAATTGTTTTCAAACAAAAATGAAAACAATATAAAAATAATGTGTATTTCAAATTTTTATTGCTTGTTTTTTTTTTTTTGAAACATAAAAAATAAAAACAAGGGAAACGAAAATACAACTCAACATGGTCTTAAAAATAAATGTATTCCTCACCCTCAATGCACATATAATATTCTTCACGCTGAGTTTGGGCCTATACAAGGCAAATACGATTTTGGGCAGCCCAACTCTCCACACATTTTATATGGGATTGAGATTCTCTCAAAGTCAAAATTTGAACTTAATTATCATGTAAGAGTACGCGAAGCTGCTTATGAGTATTTTAATAATTTGAATTATTTATGTTGTAGTATCTTTTATATATATTATTTATAAAAAAAATTAGATTTTATCTGATAATTGTAATTTTTTTTTATTTTATTACATTTGTCACCAAAAAACAAATGACAAATATATTTTTGAAAATATATCATCAATTTTTTTTATAGATAAATGCAATAAAATTAAAATGTTATGATTATCGCATAGATCTATTTTTTTATTTTTTTTTTATTTTTAAGAATTGATATACAAAGAAGAGTTTACAAAATAAACAGTTTAGATTATCAAAACAAAACCTATAATGGGTCTCGCAGCCCTTAATATAATGGTCAAGTTCATATTTTAAACTTAGGAGAATTTCCATCCCTTATATCACTTTCACACAAAAATACCATGCTCCTAAAACATATAGATTCATGAAGGTAGGGCTTGTCTTAAGTTTAAATATGAACTTTACGTAACTTGAATTGAAGGGCCTAAGAGGCCCACAACGGCTCATGTTAAGAACATTTGTACCATTCATTTTGTAGATCCCTCAGTATATATTATTCATGAAAAATTTTAGATTGATTCAATAATTGTAACCTTGTCACCCCAAAAATAGACGATATTTATATATTTTTAAATAGACCTACCATTTCTTTTGGAGACAAACACAATAAAATGAGAATACTATAATTATCGAATTAAACTTAATTTATTTTATAGATGATGTACACTTAAGATTTTACAAAATGAACTGTTTAGATCATCAAGACAGGACCTGCGACGAGTGTTCTCTCAAGTTCAAATTTGAAATTGAATCCCAACACATTTATCAAATAATCATTTTTGCTTTGGTTACTAATAATAATGGCTACTATTGTCCAGGTTGGCTGGATGTATGGATCTACAGCAGAAGATACCCTTACTGGACTTACCATCCATGGGAGGGGTTGGAAATCTACCTTTTGTTCACCTAACCCACCTGCATTTCTTGGGTGTGCACCCCCAGGTGGACCTGCAACTATGATCCAACAGAAGAGATGGGCTACTGGGCTCCTTGAAGTCTTGTTCACCCCAAAAAACCCTTTTATTCTTACCCTCAATGGGAAGCTCCAGTTCCGCCAATGCTTGGCTTACACGTGGATTATACTATGGGGCCTCCGATCCATTCCTGAGCTATGTTACGCTGCTCTGTCGGCCTACTGTCTCATCACTGACTCACATTTCATGCCCAAGGTGAGGACAAGCCACCACCATCTGTTTTACTTTCATGTGGACTCAAATGTATAATTGAGTAAATGAACCCAAAAACCCTTAAATAGGATTAACTCGATCTCTATGAGTTTGGTTAGTTCAGTTTTTGAAGAGGTATTGTTTGGTTGTAAGTCCTGAAATGGTCAATCCAACTAGGTTAGTTTGGTTCACAGATTAACCTCAATCAAATTCGTGTGTGCAATCCTAATTGGTCCTTGCATGTGTTAGCTTTTTCCCTTTTGTTTTCATCACTCACATTAAGAATTGTATCTGTCAATGAAATGTGGCTACAATATTTAGGAGTTTTATTAACAATTTTTTTTCTTCGAAAAAGTGAAAATTTAGTTGCAATAAATATTGTGAGACAAATTTTGATTATTTAGTTGCAATAAATATTGTAAGATAAATTCTGATCATCGCAAAGGTTGTCGCCAAAGTCGCCAAAAGGCCGTTCTGAGAAAGTCAAATAAAAGATTTTTAGCAGCAAAATTTTAAAAATGTCTATAATAAATGCAAGATAACATTTTGGTCCTAAAAGGATACTAATTCATGACTAGATGTTCAATTTTGTTGCTAAAAATACAATAATGACACTTTCTTGACAACTAGAATATTTTGTTTTTAAGAAGTAATTTTGTTCCTAAATTTGTATTGCTAAAATCTTAATTTGTTGTAGTGAGTACAAACAGGATTGTCCTATTGCAACCAAATTTATTCTATTTTTTTTTCAATTTTTCCTCATGCGCATTGGATTCCAAATCCTAGATATTATGTTTGAATATACTTGAATATATTTAGTCGATGATCGGATGATTTAGATCCATCTATTGATGCACACTATTTTTGTTGTTATTGTAACAGCTTAATATTTGTCCATGTAGGTTGGAGAACCAGTCATATTTATACCCATTGCCCTTTTTGCCATCTACAACCTCTACACTCTCTCTGAGTACCTTCGCATTGGCCTTTCAACCCGCGCATGGTGGAATAACCAGAGAATTTGGAGGCATAGTTTGGTTGTAAGTCCTGAAATGGTCAATCCAACTAGGTTAGTTTGGTTCACAGATTAACCTCAATCAAATTCGTGTGTGCAATCCTAATTGGTCCTTGCATGTGTTAGCTTTTTCCCTTTTGTTTTCATCACTCACATTAAGGGCTTATTTGTCATAATTCAAAAAGTTAAAAAGTCAAAAGTCATTATCTTAGTTAAGTCACATCATCTTATTTAAATCATATCATCTCTCTATCACATTACTTCAAACCCAACCCATATTTCATAAAAAATCAAAAAATGCATTTATTTAGAACATCTCAAACAATCCCTAAGAATTGTATCTGTCAATGAAATGTGGCTACAATATTTAAGAATTTTAGTAACTATTTTTTTTTTCTTCGAAAAAGTGAAAATTTAGTTGCAATAAATATTGTGAGACAAATTTTGATTATTTAGTTGCAATAAATATTGTAAGATAAATTCTGATCATCGCAAAGGTTGTCGCCAAAGTCGCCAAAAGGCCATTCTGAGAAAGTCAAATAAAAGATTTTTAGCAGCAAAATTTTAAAAATGTCCATAATAAATGCAAGATAACATTTTGGTCCCAAAAGGATACTAAGTCATGACTAGATGTTCAATTTCATTGCTAAAAATACAATAATGACACTTTCTTGACAACTAGAATATTTTGTTTTTAAGAAGTAATTTTGTTCCTAAATTTGTATTGCTAAAATCTTAATTTGTTGTAGTGAGTACAAACAGGATTGTCCTATTGCAACCAAATTTATTCAATTTTTTTTCAATTTTTCCTCATGCGCATTGGATTCCAAATCCTAGATATTATGTTTGAATATACTTGAATATATTTAGTCGATGATCAGATGATTTAGATCCATCTATTGATGCACACTATTTTTGTTGTTATTGTAACAGCTTAATATTGGTCCATGTAGGTTGGAGAACCAGTCATATTTATACCCATTGCCCTTTTTGCCATCTACAACCTCTACACTCTCTCTGAGTACCTTCGCATTGGCCTTTCAACCCGCGCATGGTGGAATAACCAGAGAATTTGGAGGCTAAACACCATGATTGCGTGGTCATTTGGAGTCTTAAGTGTTCTGTTGAAACTCTTAGGACTATCAGACACCGTGTTTGAAGTAACACAAAAAGATCAATCAACTAATGTCGATGACAACAATGCCAATGCCGGAAAGTTCACATTCGATGACTCCCCAAGTTTCGTCCTCGGTACCACCATTCTGCTGGTGAACTTGACTGCGTTGGCTATTGGATTGTTAAGGTTCCGATTGGTGGGTGGCGCTGGAAATGGGTCCGGGATAGGGGAGTTCATATGTAGTATGTGGGTGGTGCTATGCTTTTGGGCATTTTTGAGAGGGCTATTTGGGAAAGGGAAGTATGGCATTCCCTCATCCATCATATACAAGTCAGGGGCTTTGGCATTATTGTTTGTGCAATCGTGTAAATGGGTCTAAGTTCATACCCTTATATTTTGTTTTGTGCATTTAGCTTTTTCCAATGAAAGCTGAATGGGTTCAATTTGATACTTAGGACCTGAAACTTGAGAAATATGAATTTAAATTTTGAAGTAATAGAAGTGAACCTTTGAAGTACAACTTTTGGTTACTAAAAAGGAAAATGCTAAAAGCATGAAAATTTTCAAGTCGTGTGATTTCTCAATGAAAATGGTATTGAAAATTAAGAAATTCTATAATAATACGCGCACCATTTGTCCCATTTTCATGTACAAAATATGCATTTTGATTTGTTCTATCTTTTGCTGAGCTATGGCATGCTAGTGGATGTCAAATTTCATGACCATAGTTGTACAAAATTTTGGGCCAGTGTGTGATCCATTTCTTTGCATTAAGCACTAGGAGAAAATTTGAAGTATATCACCCAAATCAAGCTATTTTAATTTTTAAGGGAAAAGTTATACAATATTCCATGGGCTTGGCCATGTGTGTCACGTGTCTGATGAGTATAAACAACAACTGATGTGTGTAGCACTGGCTTGACACTTCAACTAGTCGGCCAAACCAAACTAGGACACCATAAGTCGTAAACAATGCAAACAAACTATACAAGCAAAAATCACATTACACAAACAATATCAAAACAAGGCCATTTCATTACAATTTGATATGCATTTACAAGGCAAAAATGCTTACAAATGACAACCTAATACAACCCTAAAGTGGGGTATGTTAAAGGCGTAAGTGATCAGAATGATTAACCATGCATCCCTTATTATGTATAATAAGCCATGGACTGTCTAGCGGTATGAAACATACCCCCAAGTTTGAGGAGTCATAATAAACTTTCAAAAATCACTTAAAATACCAAAAGATGGACCTAGAAAACGAGCACAATACTAGATTCATTGCTCTTATTTATTTATTTACATATATAAAGAAAATTAGTGAAAAGCCCATTTCAAAGGGGTATAAATCATTAGATCAAAGGTAAAATCTTGTTCGGTGATAAGGACACGTTAAAAAAGTCCTCAGTATTGGAAAAAGTCACTGGCGCAGAAATAGGTCACAGAAATGTTATCAAGAAAGTTGCTGGCGACAGCAAATGGTGGTGGCGGTAAGGTACAAAAATGTGTGATTCAATAGATAAGTTGTTGAATGAGTGACATGTGTCATACTTTAATAGATAATTAGTTTGGTGAATTTCAACATATAAATAAATAGGTTGAATTTAACAGATAATTGTTCTTTTGGACAAATTGTGTCTTTTTAGCCCAAATATATTAGAGTTTGGATCAAATGACTTAAAAAATTGAAAAATTGACTTATGGCATGAATGCCTTTTTTTATACAATATAATGGACTCCTTGATGGGTAGCAAAATATGCATAGATTTATCCATAATTGCACTAAAGTCCTTCAAAGGCAAGACAACACTCTAATGCTATGTTTAGTTGGGAGATTTGGAGAGGAATTTTGGAAAGGGAAAAGAAAAAGGTGTATGAAACTAGGTAAAATTTAAGTATATTTTATTTACATTTCATCTACCTTTTTCATTTCCCTTTCCAAATCGCTTCTCAAATCTCCCAACCAAATACAACATAAGGGTCTCCATCTATTTATAGTCAAAAAATCGTTTCTAAAGATAATTCAAAACAAAAATCCAAACCATTATGTGAGTCAAAAATAAATCAGAGTTTAAGTCCATATGCCTTTCCACAAATTATATTCCAATTGAGAAATAAAATACTAAATCAAATCAAATTAGGAATGCACATCCAGTTCTGGTTTTGGTTTGAAAAATAGTAGAATCGTTCAAATTGATCTGGTTTTCAGTTTTGAACCGAATTGGACTGTGATATATTTGTTTATTACTTCTAAATATTTTTTATGTAAAAATAAAAATATAGAAATTACTAATAAGATTTAAATCCTAGTTTTCATTACGAAATTGACAAGGTTTAACCAACTTAACTAAACTAATTGATGTTAATTTATTTACTATTACAATATATATTCATATATATTAGATTTCTTGTTACATAAATTTCTAGAATTGTAGAACCAAACTGAACTAAATTAGTTTCTATGATTCAATTTTAGTCCAGTTATATAGTTTTTTTTTTTTTTTTAGGTACATACCAGTTATATAGGTTTAACAGTTTGATTATGGTTACAATTTTTCTAGAATCATAGGTACCGGTTCGGTTTTTAATTTACTCTAAACTGGATCAATCCGATATGTGAACACTAAGGGTGGGCACCGTGTTGTGTACCGTCATATAGGGTTTGCGGGTCAAAGACATAAATACCAACACAACCTATTTAATAAATGTATCATATATTCAAACACGTTTACTTCATTCACATATTAAACATGCATGACACGACACAAATTGACCCAACGTTCAAAAAAAAAAAAAAACTCGTTTAACTTGCTGTGTGAGTGATTTTCTGACCACACTGCCCGCCTAGTAATCAGCTGGAGAGCACCGGCAGAATAGATGGCTTCAGCAAACCTGTAACAGAAAGAAAAGGCTCCGGCGGTGGCTCTTCCACCCGGGAGCACTCCGACGATCAAGTCAGTATATCTCTCAAAGATAATCAAGTACTTAAACTCACTACTCAAAGCATAAAACTGCGTACCTTAGACCCACGGGGGTGCCTCTCTTTTATAGTTTACTCAATCCAAGTCTCACTAGAAGCCCGACTTCTATGGACTCCAATTCTGTACTCACTTTGGATTTCTCAAGAGATAAATATAAACTCCCTAAGAGTTTTATCATTATCTTAGCAAAGTCTTCTCTTTACTCTAGGACTCTTGCCCCTTATCCATTATCCGCTTATCTCGGATTCCGATATCTTCGGAGATAACCTCGGCCCTGTCGAGATAACCTCGCCGTTACAACCAGGACACGTGGCACTTCGGCTGACACGTCGGCGTCACCTTGCCACGTGTTGGTATTCAGAAAATACATCCCCACAACTGCCCCCTAGGTTCTATTACCTCGGCATTATGAGGTGATGGAACTTATATCTGTATTTTCTTCCAGTAAATCGGCTTAAGATTTAACAGCCGAAATCACTCATTTCTGGCCGACATGCTTTCCCTAAAAAATCAAAGATTTTTAAGGAACTTTTTACGCGCATGAGCTGTCATGCACTTCAATTCAACCGTTTTAGACATGCGTTTCTTTCTTACTGGCTCGTGCCTGTGACGCGCTTGTAAGCCGTCTTAATCTGTCTGCGCCGTCTGACGCATGCGTTTTTCCAGGCGCAATAAATGCCTTATTTTGCCGCCGTTTCACGTTTTCAACAAAAAACACTAACTTTGCCTTCGTCTCTTTACTTTGCGCTTTGATTCACTTGCTTTTTCTCTCTCTAAGCTTTGTCGCTTGAATCCGCCATTGTTTCAAGCTCCAGGCTCTGCAACTTCATTCATCTCTCTGGTGAGGCTCTCGCTACTCTGTCACTTCTGTAACCATCGTCTGTCTTCGGCGAACTTTATTCCGGCTTCAATTTCTCTGGTAAGCCACTATTCTTTATGTATTCAGTTCACTGATGTTCTTCTATCTTCTTGCTGCCATTACTATTCTGTTTAAACTATTAATTCCGTGAATCATATTTATTGTTCACTACTTCTTGCATTTTTGCCACTGTTCTTGGCCCTGTAGTTCTTATTTTCTTTATGCTTTTGAGAACCCCACTTCTGTTCTTCATTCTGAAACCGCGTTCTGGTTTCTTGTTTCCTGTGTTGTTTTCTAGATCTTTGCCTTCATTTTTTGCTTTCAATCTTTGCCTTTATAGATTTAGGTTTGGGATTTGTCTATAGAACCTATCAATTCTTAGGAAAAAATTGAAACAATCCTTACCAGCATATACCTAGGGTTTCGCCGAGGTCCCGATAACCCCTTAAGAGCATCTTCTTTCTGAAACCTAGCCCTCTAATTTTAGGCCGACGTTATGGGTATGTGGAGGCACAGGGTAGATACCCCGACCAAACTTGAGTACTTTTGGTAGGAGTTCTCCATCCCTGCCGATGTCCACCTGAGACTTGCTAGGGATGATGACTCCATCATGCCTACAGAAAACGCCATGCCTCTTCCCATTGTAGCTTTTACTGAGTGCGGACTCCGGCTCCCACTCAACATTCTTTTTCGCGAGATCCTTCATTATTATAAGTTGAACCCCATGCAACTGACAATCAATTCTTATCGAGTGATTTTTGGTATTATCGCCTTAGCTAGGCAGGAGAACGTTAGGATCACCCTTGCCGGCATCCAATACTGTTATACCATGTGCGCCCTTAACCTGAAGGAAAAAGGTTACGTCTATTACCTCAAGCCGAGGTCCACTGAATTCAAAATCGTAGCCGACCTTCCAGACTTCAACAAAGGGACTGGAGATGATTATGTTATTGTTTCGGGAAATTGGGAGTTTGGCGCAAACGAGGACGCCCATCTCTACCCTCTTCCCCGATCAGTTAAAGAGGGCAAGGGTAAGAGCCCAGCGTCAATACTTAGCTGTTTCTGTTCAAGTCTTCAATATTTTATCTGTTTCTAATGTTTGTTTCTTCTTGCAGACGTTCGCAAGCCAGTGAAAAACTTCCGCCAATCTTACGTTCCCAGTAAGGACCTGAAAAAACTCCTGGACTTGCCAGTTCACAAAAGAAAAGCACCTCTTCTTCTCAACTTTATTCTTACATACAAATCGATTTTGCCCGACGTCCCCAAAAGAAAGAAGAAAAGCCTTTCTCCTCCTACTGCCACAACTCAAACCGCCACCACACCATGAACAGATCAAGAGTCAACATCTGACCCAACCAATCAACCATCTACTTCGGCACCATACTCGGTCCCAATACAAGAACGAAAACGTCGGCGAAGACTTGTCAAAACTGCTGAGATGGGTCGCCCAAAGCCCGTTACTCAAGACCTCCTTGCCGATCTCCCTGTTGATGTCGATGCTCAGTCGACGCAAACCATGCCCCCACGAAAGCCGAAACGAACCAAGAAAGCCCAGCCAATGGCTAAAGCCACTGAAGTTGAGGCCGAGGATACCCTGACAATTTCACAATTGGCAGGGAGTGAGAAGACGGATTCCGTTCCCCAAAAAAGGTCTGCTGAGACACAGCCATCAGAGTCCACACAATCAAAGAAGCCGAGGTCATCGTCTGCGACGACCTCGG